GATCACCTGGTTGGGTTCTCTTAGCGTCGAGTTGCTGCAATGGCTTCCTTAGTTCTCTAGGTAGCATAAGTTTATCCTCAAAAAATTCATCTTTATCAGCAGTACAGATAAAAGCGAAAAGCATAAAAAAAGTAAAAGCAGAATAAACCAAATACTGCCTAAGATGTTAAAAACAAAAAAAATTAAAACACAAATCACGCAAGGCTCTTTTCTGACCACAATAAGCAAAGCAAAAGAAAATTGCTTGCAAAGCAAAATGCTTCTGTGTGATTCACGTAAACCAAAGGAAATTTTAAACAAATAGTTATAAGGTTGATCACGGAATGATACCAGTTAGAGAACTGTTAGGAAATCATGAAGTGCCACCAGACAGCTATTTCATTCTAGTTACAGACTCTTCATCAGTATATAACAACTTCCAGGGTTTGAACCCACGGCTTTCCAGCCATTGGGACACAACTCACTGACCAGCTCATGAATTCTAACTCTTATTAATTCGTGATTTTAGCACAACTGGCACCCCAGTCAACGTCACTGGAGGTATTTGTCCTCACATCCGACCTGTTGGTGTAGCCCACTGGTCACGGATTCTCACTAGACATCCAGGTAACTTCGTCCTCTAGGTAGTCCATCACTAGCCAGCAATTATGTGGAACTGCAGTTTCAGTCAGGAAGGTAATATGATCTAATGATTTCATCATCCAATGACTCTTCGGCTAAGTGTCAGTGGTCAGGTCAGTCGGTCGGTGATCAGTAACATACACAACCTAGTAAATCCCTTATGGATGAACCATTCAAAAGTGTTTTAGAAATCACGAAATGAAATTCTAACTGAAATGATGTTGCGAAATATGTTTTTGTGTAAATAAGCCTGTAGGGTTTGTCAATCAACTGGTTTTTCGAAGCACACACAAACACACAAGCACACAGACAATAGTGTTCATTTTACTTTTGAAATCATTCACAAACATACTTACACCTCTAGACAACTGGACATAGGTCATTCATGTAAACAACACCCGTCAGTGTGAATCAGTCACATTAATGACTCACACGGAAGGCTACCTGTACAAAATACGTTAATAGCACTAATAATAACAATAATGATGTGATGATGGAGTTATTTGTTTAACAGTATGTGATATTTTTGAATAAACAATTTACGTGCATTGTTGTTACATATATGTGCGTCGGTGGCACAGTGGTTAGGACTCTCGCCGACCATCCACATGGTCCTGGGTTCGAGCCCTCGCTGACGCACACCTGATATCTATGGTTGGCCTGCGAATTTTGGGCTACCGATATCCATGCTGAAAATTCCATACTTGTACCAAAAATACGGTGTGGAATCAAGCTGTAATCAAAAAAATAAAATAAAAAATAAAAAAAATGTATTTTTATGACCAGTGTTCAACACACGAATAATAAAGCTTAGATAACATGCTGATGAAAGTTACAGTACTAATCATGATCTGAAGTCATTTAGAGAACCAATGGTAAACCAACAAGGAGTATTGCACAGCTATTTCATCGCGGTTTGGGACCCTTCAGAAGTATGCACCCACCACTGGCGTTTGAACCCAAGACATTCCACTTAGCAGTTGAGCTTGTAGATCATTCGGCAATTAGGGGCCTGATCTAATGGTCCACAGTCACAATAGCCTAATAGCGTTAATGTCTATAAGAAAAAATTGGCTTTAGATTTGACTGTTATCAACTGATATATATATATATATATTTGTAACAACAGAAGATAAGGACCGGCAACAGATCCTTTTATTACGGAAATCAGCACGTATTTACATATGTTTCATGTACATTATTGTAGCTTATTCAATCAGACAAACACAGTATTCTGATTGGTTGCTTCTGGTTTTCTCGGGAAGTTAAGCCATATATCTGCTAATCTTATTTGCCCACGTCAAGTCTTCTGTGATTGGTTGTTGAATCAGCCTTGTTCATATTTTCTCACGGCCAATATTAGTGACCTAGACATTGACGTCAATTAATGTCTACCAACTGGCTAGCAGCCTGCTCTCACCATATATATATATATATATATATATAAAGAATCGGCAGAAGGTGGAATTCATGGTGTAGTGGACATTGGATCGGGACGCAGTGGCTGAATGCTCTACGAGCCCAACTTGTAACCAGAAGGTACAGTGTTCAAACCCTAGTGATGAGTGAACACTATGAAGACTCTACAACTTGGATGAAACAGCTGGTCACCCAATACTCTTAGATGGTATTCCAATGGTTCTCTAACTGCTGTCAACTAGTGATTAAACCAGTAACTAATCAGATCGCTGCAAATCAACACTTGGTGTAAAAACAGTTTAGAAAGCAAAAGCACTGAGCGAAGAATTATTGACTTTTCAATTGGTTCCTCATCTCTCTCTCTCTTTCTCTCTGACTCTTTTTATTATATAAATTTGTAGCATTTTAAATAAAATACTCAACATTGATTTGATGATATTAGATGGTTGGAGACAATCGGCCACAGGAAGCCTTTCACAAACCTAGGTTTCGGGCTACTTGGCACTAGTCAGCAAGACATATCTGCAATTACCTTGAAGGGACTCATGACCCTTCTGAGATTCGAACCCACGTCACCCAGTGAGTGCTGCAGTCAGAGACGTTACCACTGAGCAATTCGGACTCGCGATACTGATACTGACGAGTGCCAAAAAGCACGAAAACTAGGTCCAAGGCTTTCTACCGATTGCCTCCAACCGTCTATTATCATCAGATCAATGTGTACCGTGATGGCGAGCTACCTAGAATGCTGGGCAACATTGCAAACCTGACTGATAGAATTCAGTCTGCACGAAAGAAAGGAATAGACGCATAACACTAGTTACTAGTGTTCAATCAAAGTACAATACACAACAGTTTACCAATCAAGTGGCGATATTTGTTTGTTAAAAGAGCTATCAATGCAGCAGAGATAAGTTGTCTTGTCATAAACACCCGTACTTTATGTTCCAGAAATGTAGAACTACAGTTGGGTGTGCAATTAGGCAGGTTAAACAAGGGACAAACAAGATGCATTCATATCAGTGTTTTAGGACATCTTGTACACGGTGGGAGTAAAGTTGGTGTTGAATTAACATTTATAGTGATTTATCGCATTTCAACTAATCTTAATTTTGTTTTACGAGTTCCCTATCTACATACAGAGCTGAATGAAGCCATTGAAATCCACCTGAAGAAGCCGAACCTATGTGTGTGTTCATAAGGAACTCGTACTGTCCCTTTCCTTAACTTGGCCCAACTGCTTCGCCGTTTATAAATGTCTAAACTATTTTATTTTTCTTCAGTTATCTTGTAACCGCAGAAGACAAGAGCCAGGCAACAGATCTTTTATTGAGAAAATCAAAAGATATTTAGAGATTTTTATGCACATGATTATTTATAACAATTATTTATTTATTTTTATGTACATTATTATTCGTTATTATTAGTATAGAAACAACGTCTTCTGATTGGTTGTTTTCCTGCTGAAGGTTATTCTATAGTCTCTTTGTGGCCATTTCTTTGAAGGTCAGACCATATATATCTGCGAATCGTATCCGCCCACGCTAAGTCTGCTGTGATTGGTTTTTGAGCTCTTCAAACTAAGTCTTTTTTTTCTCATGACCAAGTTTTGGGACATAAACATTCACGTAAATTGTTGGCTAGCAGACAGCTCTCACCACAATCTATCACGTAATCAATCTGAACACTAGGTTATTCCTTAATTACTCTGCATTCTTCAAAAATTATGCATTATGCAATGCACTTGTTGTAACCATTTCTACATTTTAATTATTTGTATTAATTTTCTTGGGTAATTATCAACCCTTGTCTATGACATGTTGATTATAACTAATTGTTGTTAACAAAAATATCGCCATTTGATTGGCGAAATTTTGTGTTCAAGTGTTGGTTTGTAAGAATTTACCTGGTTTCAGGATTTCATCATGAATTTACATTGGTTAGAGGAATATTGGGTCGGTTCCTAGTGGCTTAATGCTGTACGAGCTAACTCACTGGGTGTGTAACCAGAAGGTTCTGGCTTCAAATCATCATGGTGAGTGTGTTGGTGGCACAGAGGTTATGACTCTCGCCAGTCATGCACGTAATCCTGGGTTCGATCTCCTGCTGACGCGCACCTGATATCTGCAAAATTTGGGCTACAGATATCACATGCTGAAGATTGCATACCTGTACCAAAGAATACAGTGTGTAATCAAGCTGTATTCAAAAACAATAATAAAAAAATAAAAATACTGCTGAATAGACCCAAGAGACTAGGACAAATTAGGTGTCCAGTACACCCAAGTTTTCCAATGGTCTTCTAACCAATGTCAGTTTATGATGAAATCATGAAAATGTTGTCTATTATATTAGAAATGCTACAAATATATATTAGAGTAGAGTTACAGAGATGAGGATTTCATTGTGAAGTAACCACATTTCTTCTCTCAATCCTTTTGTTTTCTCGTCGTCTAAGTGGTGATTATTTTTCTACATTAAAGCATCCAATTATCTGTTAAATTTGATTGAATTAGTCACGTTCCGGTGTGCGTCGGTAGCACAGCAGTAGAGTGCTCGCCGATCACGCAGATGGTCCGGGGTTCGATCCCCAGCCACTGACGCACTCCTTTACCTCACTGAGCCAGTGATAAGACTGGTAAAGAGGGAAGGTTGGGCATGAGGCTGCCTAGCAACCCTTTCCTGTAAGATCTAATCACCACTGCTAAAGCAACTTCCAGCTTCTAGCTTGAAGCAGCCCTATGTTCCACTGGGGGCGTAAAGGAATAAATAAAAAAGGACGCCATGTTCTATTTGAAGTTGTGAAGTGTTAAAGTGTATCAGAATGAATGATTAGAAATCAAATAAAATGAATAACCAAACAAAAAGGCTATTGGACACGGTTAGAAGATCAAAGCAACACAGACAGTTAGCGTTGTAAACGAAAATCAACTGAACTGTTGTAGCAGTTAACAACTTACTAACACTTGGACGATACTCATAACGACCTGCTTAATAACAGAAATAAAACAAGTGTACAAAGATAATCATGGTGGTGATGAAAATAAGTGTAGAATAGATAAAGTATTGTGTGTATTTCTTCAACACAGAACAAGTTTAAACAAACAAATTTCAGTAGTCAGTTTGTCGACAGGTATAGCTAGTTGATTATTACTAAGCGTCTGGCATACTTGTGATAGGAGTCTGTAAGTTATTCCCTCTTTGAATCTCGCTTTAATCTATTCTCTTGCTTTGTGTGCTACACACGGAGGTTGTGTGGCAACAAACATATTATTACAGATCAAATTTGAGAACTATTAAAAAGTAAATCCCGTCACAAGAATTTTCAAAATCCAAATTAATAAAAAATGATCAGTACAGATATAAATCGACTATCAGTCATGACGATGGTTACCAGGAGACACACTTCTATCATTCATGGAGAATTTAATTCAATTCAAGTTATGCTAAAAATAAGCGCTGAAAGAGAATGTTGTCCAGAAGGACGACGAAAGCTCTGCAATTAAACCGACTAGCTCAAGGAACACAACTAATTGCGAATCATCCACCTGAACCACAAATAAGGCAAAAAGAGTAGTACTATGGATGAACAATAGAATTGTATTGGATATTATAGATCACAAGGTGTGGTCGCATCTGTGCCAACAATGAAAACGATTTTGAGCCATGTCACCAGTTGTCTCCAGCCATCATCGTTTTTTATCCTCCCGAGGACCCCAACCAGTCAGACAGTCTGTATCTCCCTGAGTGACCAGATTAAAGTAACTGTTTTGGACTTCATTGGCTGATGAAGCCATGTTTTGGTATAAGCACCACTAGCTAGCTCTTTTCCAACCTGATCCATCCTATGTCAGCTAACATTGCCTGTTATCGAGGAAGGCAGGCGATGGCTTGGTGTGCACGTGTAACACATATTCTAACAGTCTAAGTCAATCGGTGTAACTTCACAATCTCTTCGATTGATTCGCCCTCACATTGTCTAGCACTCGATCGAAGCCTCACCTTAATATTGTTCACCTTAATAACCACTTAACACGGAAGATAGGACGCAGGCGCCTATGACCGAAAACAGCTGACCAGGCTTTCCATACCTTCCACTTTCAATGGCCATACCTCACTCACAGTTAAAAAGGATGACAGAGCAAACTGTTGAGCAGTACACATGCCCTTTGGTCACCAGTTGGATATCACGTCTACTAAGCCAGAGTTGAGGTAGGTTGACATAGACCGAATGAACTTTCTGTGTCCGAGCTAAGATTTCGACTATCTACACATTACACATTCATATGACCAAGTCTTGAAACCCCAAGTGGGCTTCATTTCTAATTTGATGATTATAGTTGGATAGGAAAATATATCTGACACTAACCTTTGCTACTATGACTTCATAATTTTAAAGTTTAAATATTATATTTAGTACATTTATTATTTAAAAGAATGCTATCAACACAATGCTTAGCTAACATGTGAAGTGAAACAAAACGTTCGCTCCATGAATACATCTGACCTTAAAGTACACTGACATCTGATCAATAACTAGATCATTATTAAAACGGCATAATCATGATAATGGTATTCAGTCAACTCGATAAGTAAATGGGATTAATTGTTCATAAACATCTTTTTATTAAATGAATGCATTAAGGAGCTAACGGATTAGTGTGCCGAAAACGATGAAATGTGGAGGTTTATATATATATATATATATATCACTTTAAAAATCTTATGCATTCCACCAGAACATAGACAACAAAACTCGGATTGTCAAAACTAATACAAAGTAATTCACCTTTTCTATACGGGTCAGAAATATGACTAGCGCTTTACGAAAAACATTTTGAACGGGCATTGAACTTTAATCAAAATCAGTGTTAACTGGCTCCATACTGAAGATCAGATAGCCAACGAGAGAGAAATAGCAGCAAAATCCTTTGGGAACGAACTAATTGAGAACTGATACCACTTATTGCTTCTCCTTGTGTTTGGAAAATAGAAGTATCATCGCAAACCTAGTGGTCTTCTGATTTCCGCCTTCTTGCGTCAGGACTATTAAATTCTCGACCAGTACATAGCAATAATTTAGCGACGAGTACATAACAATTTGGCGACGGGGAAAACTACCATTAACCACTCAGCAGCAGCAACATAACAATTTACTATGGATCCTTCTAAATTGGAATTATTGTTTGAACGACAAATGAAATTAATGGAAATGTTCGTCAACCAACAGACTGGTCCAACTTCACCTTCAAGCAATCCGAATCATACCATGCTACCATCTGTCGACGGCATTGTGAATAGTATTTCACAGTTCAATTATAATCCAGATGAGAATGTCACTTTTGACACATGGTATCAACGTTATGAGGATTTATTCACTGTTGATCTCGCCTCACAAGACGATGCTTGGAAGGTGCGAGTGTTGTTACGTAAATTGGGTCCGGCAGAATATGAACGGTACTGCAACCTAATTTTACCCCAAAAACCACGTGACAAGTGTTTCGATGATACAATAAAGCTGCTGCGTGAACATTTTGGAGACCACTCCTCATTATTCAGCATACGTTATCGTTGCCTCAAGCTGACAATGAATGAAAATGATGATTTTCTTACTCACGTTGGCACAGTCAACCGAGAATGTGAGAGATTTCGACTCAGGTCCTTAACAGATGATCAATTCAAAGCCTTGATTCTCATATGCAGTCTTCAATCTCCTCGTTTCACAGATATCCGAACTCGACTGCTCAATCAGCTAGAACAAAATCCTAAGTTAACATTACATGACATAGCTGATGAATATCAACGGCTGATTAATCTGCAGAAAGACACACACCTGGTCGAATCAACACCTTCGAGAAGCTCTGATATTCATGCATTACGCAAGAGCAAAAATCTCTCATCATCTACTCCTGACCCACCTACTTCTCTTAATGTCCTGCGGAAATCTACACATACTCGTCCAACTTCACCAAATACTGCAAAGAAGACCCCACCATCACCATGCTGGCACTGTGGCGCGTGGCACTTTGTAAAGTCTTGCCCATACAAAAATCATCGTTGCAGCAAGTGCAAAATCATCGGTCATAAAAATGGTTTTTGTCAGCCACGCAAACCCAGATATCATAATCCAGCGAAAGCTCGCCAAACTGTTGGTCCTAAATCCCCAAAAAGTCAATGAGTCTAGTCGCAACCTGTCAAGTCACAACACCAGGTATGCGGAAATATCTTGATCTTCAGATAAACGGTCATGATATACGTCTGCAGCTAGATACCGCCTCTGATATTACTGTTATATCAGAGAAAATTTGGAATAATATTGGCAGACCACCTATCACCAATACTTCCCAGTCTCTTGTCAGCGCCTGTGGTGGGCGGCTCAAACTAATGAGTGAACTCAAATGTTCCGTTTCCTTTCGTGATACCAAATTCACAGGAATTTGCTACGTCACCAAGAGTGATTTAAATCTTTTGGGACTTGATTGGTTCGATCGTTTGCATCTGGCTGATGTCCCACTAAATTCGCTATGCAATGCAGTCAAGAAGCATAAAATGTCAGACAATTCCGGACGAAGCCGAAGCCGCAAACCCAACAGGCAGACGAAACGACAGACGTCAACAACAAGCTCAAAGGTTCCAAATAAACCCCCAGGTAAACATCCTACTAATCATCAATCTTCTCAAAAGGGGAGGTGATATGTATCCATTTATATATATATATATATATATGTGTGTGTATGTTGGTCTCTCTTTCTGTTTGCTCTCTTAGTCTGTGACCATTTCACTTGTATGAACTTGTCTCCTTTAATAATGTATATTCTCCTTATATTATATATAATATGAGTGTTTGTTGACAGTCCGTTGCTTGGTGACATATATCCATATATGGTGGTTGTTGACATGTCTGCTATATTTTGCTATGTATATATGGATCGACACTCCATTATAATTAACCATTCATGTTAAGACTGTCTATTGATTGTTCACACATTTGTTTGGACGGTCATATATATATTTCGTTCTCACAATCTTGTGACTACTTACTTTCTACTTACTTTGGTGTGATACCACTTATTGCTTCTCCTTGTATTTGGAAAATAGAAGTATCATCGCAAACCTAGTGGTCTTCTGATTTCCGCCTTCTTGCGTCAGGACTATTAAATTCTCGACCAGTACATAGCAATAATTTAGCGACGAGTACATAACAAGAACTTATTGCTCAAGAAATATTTCAAAGGAAATAAAGATAGTTGGAACACACTTTGAAACAGCTGGGTGGCATCAGGATTCATATAGGCGATCGGATGGAGCCCGAGTGGGAACTAGCGACTTTGGCTTCGGGCTTCCAAGGGTGACACGATGGAGCTCATAGGACGGGGGAATGATGGCTAGTAGGCAATCACACGGCAGAGAACAGGATTATATTAGGACGGGATGTTGCAATCGCAGCGCAAGGGAACAATTCTGTATCTGAATACATATGCTTGCATGCACTGGACAGCCGTTTCGTCGTAGTCTCTTACGACTATTCAGCAGTACGCCTCCACCAAGATGGTTAGATTCAAGGAACTTCAAGTCATAAGGCTAATCAGCTCGCAGACCATTAGGCCACCGGGTACCAATCAAATCGTCCATGAATTCCAATTTCATTACTCCTAGGTTTTCCGATATCAGTTCATGATGAAATCCTGAAACCAATCAAATCCCTTCAAACCAACACTTGAATATATATATATATATATATATATATATATCAATACACAAATATCACAAGGTGAAGAAATTATCAGAAGAAAATCCCTCAAAAATGGAGATAACAACTATACTCCACTGTAATTTACTTTGGCTTGATGATAATAAAACGCCAACAAAAGAAAGGATAGATAAAGAAAGACGTAAAGAGATTAACAGAGATTAGATTATCTGTAATACATAAAACACATTTTTAATGCTTCATTGTCACACCCAAAATACAAAGCTTGAATGTTTTCTT